CTACTGTCGTTGTAAAATAAGAGCGAGGTGTGCTTTGCCCTCTGGATGTTAGTTTTGTGTAGATTAAGTTCCAAGTAGCCTCAACTAAAGCCCTAGCTGTGCAGCAGGACAGTAAGTGAATCAAAGCATGAGGTGTTTCTGGCAGGCTGTGATTTATTTTTTTTTTTTTTTTTCTGCAAAGCCCTAGAGATAGGATCACCGAAACACCTGATCCTGTATTGAGGAGGCACATCTCGAATGGAGTCAAGGATTCGGGAAGGACATTCCGAATGTGACTCAGCGTTGATTTCCCTTGATCAAGCAAAAACATTGCACTTCCGCATTTGAACACGTGCCCTGGGTGCAAATACCTGAAAGTCTCAGAAAATGAGATCTCTTTGCTAGATGCTGCCTGTCTCCTTGTGCTGGGAATAGCCATCCAAGGCTGAAGTCCATAGCCTTGACCTTCACACTGGGGTGACTGTATAGTGTTTTGCAGCTGTAACTTTTTCACTTGGATTTACTCTTGACTTTAGCTCTTTCTTCCCTTACAGGGTGGGACCACCTGCCTAAATTCATAAAATGTGCGGAATTTTTATTTTGGTTTTATTTTTCTAACATGTCTTCTAAGGATTTTTTGCTCTGCTTAAATACTAAGGGTTATTTTCCCATCCTTAGAAGATTTATTATTCTGTTTTTCATTTTCTGCTCTGAGTATGTGTTTGACACATCTTTAGTTATTAGAATAGAAGCCTGACACTTTAGGAAACAGAAAATGTTTGCCTGCATTATGTTTCACATTATAAATGGTTCTTGTTCTTCACCGTGCAAACAGGCTCCTTGAATAATTTTACGGTATGCTGTTGAGAACTGCGGCAAGCCATTTGCTAGTAAATCAGCATTTCTTACAGCAAACTCACTATGCTTTGTCAGCCATTACATCTAGGGAATAAAAATCTAATAAAAAAAATAAAATCAAAACATGGAGCAGTTATGACCGATCTTCGTGAAAAATTCATTCTGTTTTGAGTATAGGAACCAAACATCGGGGGTTTTTTTGGGTCGTGTCCCGTACTAAAGCTTTGAGATGTACTCCAGAACATGCAAAACATCTGCCTTTTTGCTGCGTTTCTGGTATCTGCAATAAAGTATACTGACCAGTCACAGTTTTCTCTTCAGTTCTTGACTTTTGGGGAAGGTTCAACTCCTGAAAGCAGCAACTAAATTTTCAGCTTTATTTTCAGATTGTGATGGAATTTCAGTATTGTTAACTCTAAGTACTTTTTTTCATTTATTTTTTAAACACCCCTCCTCCTTTAATATTAAGGATCATGAAGAATACCTTAAATATTGGAGGGGTTTTATTTGTTTTCTGGTCTTGCCTTTTGGGTGCAATCATATCCTGCTTTCCAGCTTGTCTTCTAATAAATGTAGCAGCTCTTCTTATGTTATTATTTTAAATTTTTTAATGACACTAATTCCAGCAACAGCTAATATCTTGCCAACTCTTGCATTTTTATGGCAGAATTGTGATTTTGTGGGTTAAGCCTTTATTGCATTGCTCAGATCTGCTTATAAGCTGGAAAGGGAAGGATAGTGTTGGAAGTAGCAGGGTGTGAAACATCCAGAAAACCAAAATAAGGAGAGTAAAGGCAGGGTCTGTCAGAAGCAGGAAAGATTCCAAAGTATTATCCTAAGGGTTGTTTTTCCTTTGCTTTATAACAAATGTTTTGAAAAACAATTGGATGCAAAGTTCTTAAAATGACGTTGGCTGCTGGCATTCCATTTCCACCAGGCCCCTGGCATCTTAGGTGCCTGACAAACTAGTGTCACATGAGCAGCAGCTATTGTTGACATTTCTTAAGGCCAAGATGTGGAAGACAGTATGGATGCTCAGAGCAAGAAGTACTATTCATAAAAACATAAATTTGGGGGATTTTTAAGTTGTTCTGATCTTTGCTGGCCAACTTACCTTTGTGATTGAGTTGCTTGTCTGAGTTTGAGTTTCTGGATCAGTAGAAGGGAGGACAGCCTTGCACACCTTCAGGTGTAATTGTTTTTAGCCTTGCTGGAGGCTGCCAGCGCCTTGATAGCACGTTTTTCAGCACCACGTCCCTGCCTCCTCTTCTTTCAGAGTATGTACTTTATAGAAAAGTGAGAGGTTTTAAGTGGTGAGAAAAAGGATGTTTTTTGACTCATAGGATTTTGTTTTATATAAAATACCCAAGCTTCCAGGTAGATCTTTCTGGTGTTTGCTGGCTGGTTCAGCTTTCAAGGCTGGAATAGAATGGTAGAAGGACAGAAATGTGTGTATCTACAGATACAATTATGCTGAAGGTCTTTGCTTTCTGTCTTCATCCCACAGATCCTATTTAGTTTCTATTTTCTGTATTTTGATTAAAAGGAAAACTGAGCTTATAAAATTTGGTGAAGTATTACACTTATTTGAATACTACTTGAAACAGAGGCCCTTACAGTACTGTAAACTTAAATTTTCTCATGCTTTTAATCACCAAATGAGCTTGATAAGGTTGGTACCTGGTTTGATATCTGATTCTTAACCGTGACAGCAGAAGATCAAATCTGAGCATTTCCTCCCAGTATTAAGTTCTTAGTGTCTGTTATCATCATGGCACGGCAACCTGGTCCTACCCATGGTGTTGATTGTTCACTGAGGACCACTGCCAAGTTGATATTCCCTGCCAGGCAGATCATTCTTGTACTGAGCCTTATCAGAAGCAAAGAATCTCACTTATTATGTGAATGGTTTGCGCAGGGATGATACCGAGGCCACAAATTCAGCTCTTACTACAAAGCGTTGAGTACTGAGCTCTGTGTGCAGCCAGACTTCTGGTGAGTGTCGTAGACAGAGAACCCTCAAGTTGGAGGGATTACTATGTTTGCATGTTGCCGTGCTGTGTAGGCTCTGAACACTGGAAGATCATCTCTGTGCCAGCTGCTTGATGCTGAAACTTTTATCTTTTTACTTAAAGGCTTTGTGATAAGGTGTGGCTTTCTTTGGATGTTCAGTGTCTCTTGATGCAGAAAAGTGTGCCTGATCTGAAAAACCTAGAGCTAGATGTCTAGATTTGAGCACTACTGAAATGTGAGAAATATGCAATATATTTAATTCTAAGCTTTGGTTTGGTTAATTTCTACTGCAATCTATTATTAAAACAAAAACCTAAACCAATCATGGCAAGATAGAATTCACTAGTTCACAAAATGGAGTTGGAAACATTGACAAATATATTCGTGGTGTCCCAGTACGATTGCTCTATTTCTCTATTTGCAGGGCTTCTGTATCGCATTGTCACCTAATCCAAGGCACAGCATGACTCCTTCCGGGGGCTAGTCTCTTCTATCATATCTTTCCCTCCTCTTTAAATCCCTTCAATCAGCTTTCAGTAAAACAGAAAATAGGTTTTATGACTTATTAAAAGTTTCATAATGGAGGCCTGGCTTATCTTCCCTACCTTCTGTCACGGACAAACTTGGATCAACAACTGCTAGATATTTGTCCGAAAGTATAGATTGAAGCATTGTGAACTCTGTGCTCTCAGTAACTTTACAAGCTTAACAATCCTAGGAGAAGCTTCAAAAAACTCAAACAACCCAAACAAGTAGGGGAAACAATCCCAATACCACAAATTTAAAAGTTATAGATCACTATGGCAACTCAAAAATACTAAATGTGTGTGACTTGTGTTGTTTTTAATTTTTATTAGCCAGGTAAATCTAAGGTGAAAATTTTGCTTTATTTCAGCTGTGGAATTTGACAATATTAATCTACAGCATAGTAGTCACTGTGACACTGCTGTGGTTGTGTTGTGGATTTGATCAGCTGGTATATGGAAGAATTTGAAATGCTCAAAATGAAATAACTTGAGGATCAAGTACTATATATGTGTTAATAGGATCCTGGGCCAGGGCCTTGAGCCCAGAACCCTGATACAAATATGGCCTCACTGTGTCACAGCCCATCCAGGCCCTTTTCTGCTCTTTCACTGGTCATTTCTCTGCACCTTTCGCTGAGCAATTCAATTGTTGACGACTTTGGGTTCCTTACAGGTTTCTATATACGTCCACGTACCTACTTTGAGAGTCCCCTGAATGCCACCCCGTGCATGTTTTCATCTGTGACATGAAAGTGAAAGTGAAGTCATACGTGTTGCAACCTTTCCAACCCATGTCTGCAACAATAGACTCGAGTTTCCTGTCAGATACAACCTGCACTGTTCTCTTCAGCCAAAGATGAAATAATGTTTGTCACGTCAAAGCTAGTTGGCCTGCA